GTATGGGGCTATACCCACCAACAAGGTTCTTTGGATCGTAGGTAAAAGGGATCTCTATCCCTGTCCCATACCCCTCGCAATTGTCGTAATCGCTTCGTCCTTCAAGCGGGCTTCCCTTTTCTCCTCGTCCTCCTCAGGTTCGTCGCGCATACCTTGTCCCCCCTCGCTTTCCCCATGCCAAGTCTCACGTCGTTCGCTCCTGTTGGCCCCTTCCTCGTTAGAGACCCGAGCCTTATCTCCCATTTATGTGTTGCCTACTTCTTCCACATTTGCCCTTCCCTTTTCGCCCTCACTGTCAGATGATATTTCTATACCTTCTCCCTCGCGGAGGGGTGAGGGTTTCCTACACAAGCATTTCCTTCCTTTCCTGCCTACCACTGGGCCACCCATGAGTCCTATATACAACTTTCTCTTTGTCGCTCTCCTCCCTTGGCTAGGTCCTGCTTCCTCCCCTCCGGTAGGCCTGTTGATTGCCCCGCTGTCATTTTCGTCACCGAACTCCATCTTCTTTTTTTCTTTTGGACCCTGTATAACAAAACAACACCCGCAAAGCTCCTTATGCACCCATTCCCCCAGTTTGGCAGGTAATCCCTCCCCCTTTTTTCCAGAATGCTCCCAACATCCTTCGCAACATGCCCCTATTATACATGCGAATGCGTCGTTTGTGATGTCCCCATTTTTTTCCCGTCAAAAACTATGGTACAATGCCCCAAATATCCCTTTCCGTTGTCACACAGGCCAGATATTGCAAACCCCCAAGTCACGATGCCTTTTCAACCTCGGTCAGTCCAAGCCAAAGTGTCAGTCCCCCCAAAAAAATGACAGTCCCATGAACATGGTCAGAGACAAACGATAGTGTGGGCAAGGTTGTGGTCAGTCTTTAGCTTGTGGCTCCTCAGTTTCCTTATCTTCGGCCTCCCGAAGCCATTGTTCCACTGGGTCCCTGCTTAGAAACCTGACCAGTTGTTGCCCCGGGAAGGGCCCTTTCAATCCAGTTCCATCCAAATCTTCCAGTTCGAAGGTGTTCAGTCTCACCCGCTTGGCGACCCGGTAGGGGTTTGAACCTCCTTCCCAACTGTCTCGACCAAGTACTTTCTAGTGCCGAGTTCCTTAGCAATACCATCTCCCCCACCTGAAGTGGCTCCTTTCTGAAATTCTTAACCTGGTCCCACCTTGCTTTGTCCCTCATTCTGTTGTCCAGCACCCGACTGGCGATGTCTTCCATGACCTCCTCATTCTTAATGATTTGTTGACATCTTGCCTCGATTAACTCTTCATTGGTCATTTGCGGATCATCATCTAACCTATTCCAGGTAGGTACTTAGGCTTCCACAGGAAAGTCGATCTCTCTTCTGCACCAAAGCTCTGTCGGGATACATCCTGTTGTCCTTTTAGGAGTCATATTCTCTGCAAAGACAGCCTGCTTAAGATACCTAGGCYWGTTCCCCAGATGGTCTGCTGCGAGTTTTGCAATCGTGTTCTTCAAGGTTCGGTGCCCCCTTTCCACAGGTGCATTGGCCTCAGGGTGATACGGCTCGACGAGTTTGATCGGTACGCAGAGTCTCTTAAGCATCCCCAATACTTATTGGTTCACAAATTTCGTCCCATTGTCTGCTATAAACCTCTTGACGAACGGATGCCTCAAGTAGAAGTCTTCTATCCAGTCCGCCACACTCCTCCCTGTCTTTTTCTTGAGGGCGGCTGCCTTCACGAACCCGCTCAGGTTGTTTCGCGCATCCAGGATATACCTGTACCCATCCGTTGATGCAGGCATGACCGCAAGGTCGAGGTGGACCAGATGTCCCGGCCCGAGCACCCGCGTTGGTCTAAGCGGCTCGAAGACCGCACCGAGCTTCGTTCTTGGCAAATAAGGCAAGTCTGCCAGTATATGGCGACCATGCCTGTCATGCCTGGCCAATAATAGAGTGGTGTTATCTTTGCAAGCGTTCCTTTGGACGACCGATGACCTCCAGCTAACCCGTCGTGCGTTGCCTGGATAACGTCTACTTGCCTAGGTCTTCCGCACACAACCCTTCTGGGCATAGCACCTTCCTCCCTTCAGAATAAATGCCCGTCCCTTAGGACGTACCTTTCGGCTTCTTCCCTTGCTTTAATACTGACTTCCGTAGGTTGTTTGTTTCCTACCAACAACAACCCGATCTCCCGAAAGAGCCCTTCGTATGATTGGACATAGAGAAACTCATCCCCGTCCTGACCCCCATCCTTTCCTTCCTGCATCTGGTTTACCACCCATTGCAACTCTTTCCTTTCCCAAGATTCCACTAAGCTCATCACTGCCTCTCGGCCTTCCTCGACCGCCATTGCCATTTGTTCCTCTTTCGGTCCTACTATCGCTCCCCATGAGTCTTTTTCTTCTCTGCGTTCTCGGGTGGTAACTGGTCCTTCTCTAAGTTTTGCTACTACGGCAGGTGCCCCCTTCTCCAAAGTCTGGATCAATAGTTCTCCCGATGTGCATTCCCCGCTCATCATTTCGTTATCCACCGCGAGAGTCCCTCCTTCGTATTCGAGGAAYGCGTCTATGGRCTCTGCATCCTCCATCCCTTCGGGAGTGATGCAAACCCGACTCAGCCCATCTGCCTTGTTGCGGATTCCAGCAATCCGTTCGATCTTGTAATCGAATTGCGAGATGAATCCTACCCATCTCCCTACCGTTGGATCTATAGGCCTGTAATTTTTTAGAGCCCCTGGGACATTCGTCGGATCGATCCTTAAGATGAACCGCCTCCCAAATAGGTAGGCCTGGAAGGTCTTAAGGCAATGTAGGATGGCTAGGACTTCCTTCTTGAATTGCGAATACCGTCGTTCTGCGGAGTTCAGGGTTTTACTTTCGAACCTAATTGGCCTCTCTTTTCCTCCCTCATCCCTTTGAATCAACACACCTCCTACAGCCAAAGGTCCCCCATCCGTCTCTAGGATGAAGGGTCGTCTCACTTCGTCATTAAAACAAGGCGCGGACAGGGCGACTTTCTCAAATGTCAATATGTCCTTGAGCCTTTGGACAGCTCCTTCTCGCTCCTCCGTCCAATCCATGGTTCCTTCTTCCCTGATCATAGCCCGGGTAGGCTCAACAATCTTGGCAAAGTTCTTAATGAAGGTCCTCCAAAAGTCGACTACGCTTAGGAATGCCCTTTACCTCCGTCGTCGTGCGCAGTGGTGTCGGCCACTGTGATATCTTGTCGGTCTTTGTCGGATCCGGCTTCCTGCCGTCATCACCGCAACGAAATCCTAGTATAGTTACCTCCGGTACTGCTAGGATACTCTTTGGTCTACTAGCCGTAATGTTGTATACTAGGAACCGGCGGAGTAAGTCCTTGATGTCCTGCAGGTGGACCCACACAAAACGTCGGATCCCTGGCTGGACTTCCGTTTCATCCTTTTCCTGCTCGCCTTTGATCGGATTGTCATCGATTTAGGTTCACATTTCTCTGGGAACATGTCCCCGGCCACGACGAGCATCCTGCGTTGCGCTTTGGCCACCGCGTTTGTGAATCCCATAGGTGTCACTTGCATCTGTAGCTGGCCTACGGGGGTGTGCATAGCGGTGTATGGCCTGTCCCGAACATCCAATGGAAGCTGGTCGTACCCTGAGTACAGATCTATCAAGGAGTAAATGCTCTGACCGGCGTGCGATTCTGCTAATAAGTCAGCCTGAGGTACCGAGCCAGCATCCCGGATGGTTACCGCATTCAACTTCTGCAGGTCCTGAATCCACCTTAGTGTCTTGTTAGGCTTCCGAAAGACGAACCACCGATTTGCGTATGGTGATGTCGTAGGCTCCGCAACGAAGGAGTCCATCTTCGCTCAGAGGAGGTCTGTTACTTCTCCTGCTATCCCAAATTCATAGGATGGTCCCTTGTCATTCCAGCACTCATGTTCTACCGTGTGGATTCTGACCGGAGGGATCAACTTCGCATCGAGTCGTCCCTTCTGGTGATCACTAAAGGCAAATGCCAGGTGAAACTCCTGGCAGGTCCTTTTGATCAGGCGGGTTTTTTCTTCCGTTAAGAACCCGTTTATCCCTATTTTCAATGTGTCCGCTACCTCAACTGGTATCCGATGTCCCTCCGTCGCCCTTCTTTCTTGGATCACTCGAAGGACCTCTTCCTGCTTCTCCATAGCGTCTTTCTTTGATGTCTCTAGCAGGATTGAGACCGGTTTTGCTTTCTTCCCTACTGGCTTGTACTTTCGAACACTTCCTTCCGGGATCTTTCTCCTAAAAAATGAACAGTTGGAATTGCCCCTGTTGCTTCTACGACTCGTGGTTAAATACTAACTAGTTTCCCATTCAGGCAATATCCCTTTTGCACCTCTCTTTCAAACTTGGCCAAGGCCGCCGAATCCACTCCTACCTTGTGGTATCTGAGGGCCTTGATGAGTTGCAATAGATCGGGGATCTCGAGTGCGATTTCCGGCACGTCTATGCGTACTTTTTTCCGTTTGGGCAGACAAGCACCAAGTTCGACCTTTGATTCCTTTTCCGCTATCATAACACCTAGGACTTTGTCCTCCTGCCTCCTTTTCTTATGGGGTAGGCCCATCTTGATCCACTCCTTCTTATTGAATACTTCCTCAATCATGATTTCTACCCTTTCTCTCATACCCTCCATCCGTGCGAAAGCCCTTTTTCGCGTGCTATTCTCGAACGACTGCGACCATGTTGCCAATTTCCCCCTCTGGGGGTCTCCTCCCGTTCCAAGGAGTCGGAGGAGCTCTCCCGGGCCAGTCACAGGGTCCTCTATGTCTACCATGTATGAGCCATCGTGCAAGTGCATGCCTATCATCTCCACGTTCGCGCACCACAGTCTCCCGAGGATTATGTCGTGGTCCATCTCCTCCATTACGGTCATCCGCTGAAACGACCAGATCGATTCCATGACCCCTGCCTTTACAACACACTTTATGACGTACCCAGCAAACGGGATTTCCTCACGAGCTCCCCGGATGCTTCCTGTTACTTCCTTGTTTACCGTACATCCTGTGATCGTTGTGAAATCTCTTCTTATGAGAGTGATTTTTGCTCCCCCGTCTACTAATGCGTCGGTATGATGACTCCCGATCTGGATTTTCAGTTTCCTACGGGCAGCGCATGAAAGCTAAGCTTCGTCTCGGGTGGCGATCTCATGACTTCGCCGCCCTCTCGGTCGGGCAAGCTCAAACGAATGTCTGCAAAGGCCTTTTCGAGATCCTCCAAGTCCCCGTGACTTCTTTGAAGGTTAGCCACTTCTTGCGGAGCTTCCTCCTCCCTCTCCCCTTCTAGTAATTCGGGGTTGTCGCCTATTTCTACTCGCCTCCGATTCAACAATTGTCTGAGCCCTTTGAGCAATCTAGGGCTAGCCTGCAGCATGGTCTGAAAAAACACCGACACCATGGTTCCTAGTAACTTGCTAATGGTGTCGTCGATCTCAGGCAAGGTTAAGATCGGGATTTGATACCTAAACTTCTTCTTAGCGGCGGTAACCTTGTCCGCAGGCTCCTCTTCCCTAGGCTTCCCATAGACTTTCTCTGGTTCCTCGGCCTCAGGCTCCGCCTGGGGTTCGGAGCTTCCGGCGACCTCCTCCATAATGGTGTCACGGTTAATCCTTTTCTCGTCCGTTCCCAGTCGAGTGGTTGCGTTCACCCTATCACGTCCGTCGCTTTTCAAAATAAAGTTGGTCTGCGGCCCGCGCCCCCGGAGCTGATCCCAGATGATCTCGCCCACTGGTTCGGCTTCTACGACTGTTATTTCTAGACCTTTGAGCATGATAATGGCTCGCCGCATCCCTCCTGGTGAGTTCCAGTTCAACCGTTCCCCTTGTGGTCCAAATATCTCCCCCTTTAATGACCTGGTACACCTTTTCAGAATATCATGGTTGAGTTTTGGGCATGCGCGCACATAATGTCCTATCGCGGTGCAGTACTTGCATAGCTCATTAGCGGGATCTCTCCGTCCGAATCCCCGGTTTGCTACACCTCGCGGGACCACAGCTTCCTGGGGAGGGAGGGCAGGTCGGGATACTTGTGCTTGCATAACCAGTAGCGCGTCTTCCATCCTTTCACTCTTATTGTCGACCCCGTGCACCCGTTCATGTAGACTTTCAATCCCCTTCTTTACCTTCTCGCCCGTCCTACCGGTCAGATCTATGATCTCTCCTTCCTTGAGCAAGGCCAACGTCTCCGTTACTACCGTTTTCTCAGCCAGATCCGTTACCGTGCTAAAATCAACATCCCGCGTGTTTACGAACTTGCTCGTATGTTGGTAAGCTGATAGGATCTTGTCTTTGTCGAACTCGGAGAACTGCCCGAGGAAATATTTGCTCATTATCCGGTCCGTGACCCCGGGGATCCTTAGTGCTACCAGAGTAAATTCTCGTAGGAAATCATTGTACGTTGCAAAGTTCTTCCTGTGAACTGCCGCTACGTCGGCCTCCGTTGCCATTTTCTTTGCCGCTAGGTACTTCCTCATCATCACATCCCGGGTCTCCTTCCAAGACCGGCTTGCGACTACAATGGCCATTATGTCCCGTCCTAGATGGTCCATCTTTTGCTCCTCGGTCCACTTTAGTAACGCAACTAGGTTCTCGTAGTCGATCAGGAACTCCGTGATGTTTGCTCCATCGAAAGTCAGCTTTTTCTTGGCGTCTGCCAGATAGCCTTGATTTTTGTTTAGTGGTCGCGCGAGGGACGACACTATCTTCTTAAGGCCGTCCTCGGAGCTGCTGGCCTTGCTTGCCACACTGTTATCCGGACTTTCCTTGCCGGCCTTTTGTCCCTCCCTGGTTTTCATAGTTCCTTCCGGGTCAAACCATCCCAACACTCTTTTCCTTAGGCTCCAAAGTCCTTCGCATCCTCGCGCTACTGCTGGCGTGATCGGCAGGCGGCTAGCCCTACTATCCATGGCTGGCGGAGTCGTAGCCTCTTCTTCTTCCATCCCCGGAGAGTTCTCTCTCTCTTTCCTTCTCTTGCTCGGCGTTCCCCCATGGTCACTACCTTTATCCCCCTGTCCAGTCTCACCTTGGCTGACTTTCCGTTCGTCCCGGGGTTCCTCCTGCAGAGGACCTTCTTCGTTCCCAGTCATCATTTCCTCAATCAATCTTGCCTTGTATTCCGCGGTTCTCTTGTCTATCTCGGCTAGTTTGCGCCTCGTGTCCGTGACCCTTACATTCTTACGCATGGCTCCTTCCGAGTTTCGGGGGCTTGTCCTATCCTTATTTCTGCCTTCCTTGGTCCCTTTGGTCCCTTGCCTGCTTCCCCCGGCTTTCCCCGAGCTTTCTCCTGTGGAGATTTCCTTCCGGTTCCCTTTGGTACCATCCGTATTTATCGATTCTCTGTCCTTCTGCCCCCCTCCGCTTTGTGTGGCACTGCCTTCTAAGCCTGGTTCTCCTTCACTCTTATGGTTATCTGTCTCCTCCTCCGTTGCCATTTTGCCTAGTTCTGCATAAGCCAATGAATTCCCAGGACACACATAATGTGAGGTTTTTAGGTTCCCTATGCTCCCAGCTCTGTTGGCTTATCTTTATAGTCTCCTTTCCTATCCCCGTTTCCTGATTGCCCTTCCTTAAGGAGGAGCCACGACTGGCCCTACCGCCGAGCCGAGCTATGAACGTGACTGGGTTTCCTTTATCACAAGCTCGTTTGTAGTGCCCTTGTCCCGTCGGCCGACGCGAGGGAGTCCGGGTTAGGCATCCTGCTAGGGGAAGTCTTCCTTAGCAGCGTTTCCCGTTTTTGACCTTCAGGGTTATGGTCAATCATTAGGAGTCTGCCCCCCCCTCTTCTTTGTTTTTAAGTGGGTTTTAACCATCCAGGTCCGAGGCCCCTTTCTTATTCCCATCGGCGAACTTCCGTACGCTGCGAATTATACTCGATCTGCCCTATTGACCCGCCTGCGGATGCTAATCCTGCTCTCGCCCTCGCGGCTCTTTTGGTTCGGTAGGCTCCTCGAATAGTTGAGCCACCCCCGTTAGATAATTCTCCCCTATCTCGATTTCCCTTTGGATTATGCGTTCGCACCCTGTCCAGTCTAGCGGGGGCGCACAAAACATCAGGATGTGGATGACTTCTAGTAATTCGTGGGCCCTGTTTCCCCAGAACGGCCCGGGCTCCACAGCGACATTGTAGAACATCCCAATAGTAGGGGAGGGAAAGTGGCCTGCCCAGACTATCGCTGAGTTTGTCAGCTCCCGCGCCTTTGCGAGGCTTCTGAAGACGAGGTCTATCATAAAACGGGGCATGACTTCCTCGGCTTTATCTCCGTAGAAGGGCCCATATTTCAATGAGAGCCTATAAAACTCCTCAGTCAGCCAGGCACATTCTATATGCACCTTTCTCATGGAGTCGGCTACTTCCAGAATGTGTTCAAACCCTCCAAACCACTCGGCTATGAACTCTGGTACCCAAGCCGTTATCCGTAGACTTGGGGGCTTAAGTTCCTTCCATCCTCCCATCACAACTCTGCTAGTGACTTCGTCCCACCCCTCGTTGGCGAACCACTTGCCTTCTTTTCGAGTTCAGGCCTCTACATCCCCTAGAAGCCACATCGGGTCCTATCCCATTGCTAACATAGTGCAAAAACAGGTGTCATCCATCTTCGTAAAGGACAATCGTTCCAACTGACTCTACCTTGCCTTCTGCTATATCATCCCAACCTTTCTCTTCCCTTATCGGGTTTCAAATCCGCTCTATCCATACATATGACAAGTCCCGGGCAACCTCAAACTCAATCCAGTCGCACGTGGTCCCTCTCCATCCATTCCCTGTTGGTATAGGCATTTTTATTCCTCCTCTGAGTCGCCGTGGTTCCCGGCCTTTGAAAGTGTATTCCATCATTCTTTCTTTTCTAGTCATCTTTCCCTTTCCTGCACAATACCAGGCCACCGTACTTCCTAAGTTAAGTTTCAACACCCCTCTCAGAAGTCCCAGTTCTCTATCTCTTCATCTTCGTTTTCATCACTGAAGTCGTCCTCCTCGTCGTATACCAACTCCCTTACCCCATCTAAAAACGTCTCCCTTATTTCCTGTAGACTATCCCCCAATGCACAGCGCTAGGGACAAAGATATTGTCTATGCTAAGGCAGTTTAGTATCTCGGCCAGCTCCTCCGTCCAGTTCCCCTCGAACGGCCGCATCTCTATTGATAACCGGAAAAAATATTGCCTAGCGCATTGATATAGCCCGAGGTTCGTCATGGACTGGCATATCCGTACTAGCCTGCTCTGGGTTCCGAAAACCGCATCCACTAGGAAGGAGGGCAGCACACATCACATGGTCCTTACGGGTCGCCTCATGCTTCCTCTATCCCCAAGTTCCACCCGTACGTCTACCTTTTTCATTTCCATTTCCCTCCGTTGACATGCAGCCCACACAACCTCTGCTTCTGCCTTCCTAAACAACTCGTCCGGCGTATTCCCGAGTGCCAACTCTATGATCATAGCTTTCTCCCCATCTTGCGACAAGTAGACCCACCCCGGGCTTCCACTGTCCCTCAGAATTCCAAATCCATTAAACTTGGTGACAACCTTGTCAAGCTGAAATTAGTCCATATTGTTTCTATCCAAAGGAAAGCATCCTCTCCTTTCAGCATTATCGTTTGATACGCTGGTTCAAGGTCCGTCCACGTTCTATTTTCCGGGAGGACGACCGATACCCCATCCCTTACGTCTACTGGCATTTCCGGGCCGCTAGTATAGATCGGGGAAGGCAACCATCGCGCCATCTGGTTTTCAGCACCCGACCCCTATTTTCATAAAAAGGCACCAACGGATCCTTTTGGTCAGGTCAACCCTTGTCCTAGATGACAATTATTTCAGACCCCTCATCAAGGTCTCCCTATTTTACCTCCCCTTTCCTAAGTACCCCCTTCCTATAATACCCTCGGCCGGCCATCCATTTGCCCACATTCTTTCTCTTGGTTCCATTCCAATTGACCTCTATCCTCCTTCCTTTCGATCATCTCTCACTCGTGCGGACTTAAATGGGGGGGGGGGGGGGATAGACTTAGAAATATGTCACATCCAACAATCCGAACTCAATCAATTTTTACGCAAGGGGAACACATAAAAAAAATCAGGCAACCTCACACACGGGCCGGTCATCTCCTCACCGGCCATCCCTAATATGGTCTCTTCGCTGGTACTATTGGTAGAGTTTTATCCCATACCTCAAGCGTAGCTCAACCGTCGCGAGCGCGGTACCCAGGTCTCGGCAAGGCATTCGCCCTTTCCTCCTTACCCAAAATACCCCATCCCGTCTTGCCGCTTTGCACATCCATACCGACACCGAGGGTTACCTCGAGTGCCTAAATACAGAGATAAAGTCAGCTGTCCGGGCATTTACTTCCATCGGTCCGACAAGAATCAACCTTTCCCAAAATCATGCTACAAGAGACTACTAATCGCCTCCGAGGCTCCGTCTTTGTCCGCATGCAGTGGTACTCCCTCCGCCAGCCAACAGGCTAAGCCCCGCCTGAGGAGATTTCACACCCCGTCCAACAGATCATCGAGCCGAAGCCCGTCACCGCTCGAACGAGAATGCTACTAATCAATCGACGTGACAAACTCCCGTCCGACAGCTCGGTGGTCTGACCTCCACATACGGATACACGGCAGCCTACAAAAGAGAACGATGTTTCGCAACCCGCACTGGCCGGTGCAGACCAATCCTTTCCTTCCGAAAGGCAGGACGCTCGAATCCCATCATGCAAACACAAGTCCCAAGTGGGACACACATAGTACAAGTGTCATTCCCTTGGTGCACCCAGCGCTTCCTACCCATAACTCACAGATTTTCTCTCAGGACAATGAGTGTCACTCCCCCTACTTTCATACATAGTGGTTAGTTCCTTCTCGTGAGAATCTTCAAGGGTGAGCTAGTTTTCCTTGGAGTCTAGCAACTCCCTTCATTTCCCTTCTCTTCATTGTGTGTCCTTTCATAGGGTAGGATTGTTCTTTCTTGATGACCCGTTGTGTTCATATTGGTTCCTTCAATCATTAAAACGGTGCAAAGTGCATGAGCCCGCTGGGCTCAAAAGAAGAAGGGGAAAACACTCATTCGGTCGGATCACTCCGCCATGGGATTTTCATTGGAACCTGGCCTAAGCCAAACACCAACCGCCTACCAGGTAACCGGAGCCCTTCTTTCATACGAAGAGGAAGGGTCGACCTGCGACTTGCCCAAGGCTTCCCCGGACTGGCGAACACCAGCACCGGATGAAGGATGGCTAGAGCCATTCCTCAAAGGAACGGTTGATCAAGTGCATAGCATGCATGTTATACCTCCAGGCCTGGCCATGCCATGAGCCCAACCACCCTCAAATCTGATTTCTCACAAGGGAAAGGGCAAACACGAGTCCATTTTCCTTATCTTGGGTTGTGTACACGTCAATGCGTCGGGGGCCCCCATCGGAATCGCAAGGGTCAATTTAACCCCATACCCGGCACCTCCACCATTTTTGTAGGGCCAAACCCCGGTAGACTTTCGAGCCTTAGTCGACCCCACTGCGGGTCCCAGTTGCCTCGGCCCGCCCACACTCATGCTCAGGGCGCGGGTCATTCGTCCCAAGATCACCCCCACCTAGTGCTCTGAGATGGATGGGGGTGGGCCATTGCGCGAGAGAGCTTTGACATTGGGGATGTAGCTCAGCCCTCACGCCGAGTGGTAGTCTCGCTGGTCGCGACACTGATTTGTTTTTTATTCTTTGTCGTGTTCTCATACAATTGCTCCTTTCAATACGCATGCAGTCCAAGGGTTCTTTGAGTATTTCTCTTTCTTGTGCGTAGGCTAAGCGTCATCCTTAGGCCACACACCATTTCCCTAAGCATTGTGGCTATATGGCGTCATTGGGGTGCGGCGGAGCCGTTCTCTCCCTCGCCCCTATGCATCCATCGGGTCTCATATTTTGCTTTCCTCCTTATTGAAGTAGGCCCCTTAGTCTTTTCCGGGTCCTCATATGCATGCACACACATCATCACAATTTCCTTGGTACGATTGGACTCTTATTTACACTCCATGTCTTCATGCGCAAAAGTCATTTTCATGGGTTGGCTCTATGTCAAGGGTCCCATAGCCCCTTTGTCCCTCTTCCCTTTCACTCTTGGTGCCGCTCAAGGCATTTCTAGCCATCACTCACCTGCACAATCCCACACAAGCAAGAAGGGGGTCAACACATAGCCCTTCCCACATGCCTATCTTTTCAAAATTCTTTGGTTGCTCTTTTTTCCCTCTTGTTGCTCAATCAGCCCATTCTCTTCTCATAGTCATGCAGTCGGGGAAATGGTTGAGTAAAACTGACCTCTCTCTCAACTAATGCTTTCTTTCGGATCCCGCCTTTCTCCCACTTTTTCAAACGTCCTTTCTTTTGCCTTCTTGATGGCACAAGTGAGGTCTAATTTCGGTCACCGTCCGTACCCTGGTAATGTTTCCAAGTGAGGGGAGAAGGGGTTAGTCATATGCCAAATGAGGGGAAGGAAGAGAGGGGGCAAGGCGAAAGGAAAGACAGACTGGGGAGAGAGAGGAGTGAGAGAGAGAGAGAGAGACAGAGAGAGAGAGAGAGAGAGACAGAGAGAGACAGAGAGAGAGAGAGACAGAGAGAGAGAGAGACAAAGAGAGATAGATAGATAGATAGATAGATAGATAGA